ATGATTATTGGTCAACATAAATGAATCTCATGGTAACAACAAATCAAAAACCTACAATGCATACACCAAGATCAAAAAGAAAGGGACACAAGCATACTGCTAAAGCATATCAAACCACAAGGGAAGAAACAAAAAGGAGAAATAAACAGGGAAGAACTACAAAAACAACCAAAAAACAAGTAATAAATAGCAATAGTACATACCTATTAATAATTACTTTAAATGTCAATGGACTGAATGCTTCAATCTAAAGACATAAGGTGGCTGACTGGATGAAAAAATACCCTTCAATATGCTGCTTACAAGAGACAGTTCACCGCAAAAGACACACACAGACTGAAAGTTAGGAGATGGAAAAACATATTCCATGCAAAATGGAAATGACAAAACAGCAGGTGTAACAGTACTCATATTAGCCAAATAGTCTTAAAATGGAGGCTATAACAAAAGACAAAGAATGGCATTATAATGATAAAGGGATTGATAGAAGAAGATATTACATTCATTAATATATATGCACCCAATACAGGAACACCTAAATATACAAAACAAATACTACCAGACATAAAAGGAGAAATTGACAATAATACAGTAATAGTAGGTGACCTTAACACCCACGGACATCAATGGACAGATCACCTAGATAGAAAATCAGTAACAAAAAAGTGTTCTTAAACGACACAACAGACCATTTGAACTTAATACAGTATCTACAGGACATTACATTTGAAACCAACAGAATACGCACTCTTTTCAAGTGTACATGGAATGTTCTCCATGACAGATCACATGCTATCCCATAAAACAAGTCTCACCAAATTTAAGAACAGAAATTATACCAAGCATTTTTTCCCAGCCACACACATATGACACCAGAAATCAACTACAGGGAGAAAATGGGAAAAACACAAAAATATGTGGAGATTAAACAACATGCTACCAAAAAGCCACTGGGTCAAAGAAGAAATCAAAAAAGACATTTTTTTTTAAATGCTCAAGAGAAAGGACAATGGAAATACAACACTCCAAAACCCATGGAAACAATTCAGGAACAATATCAGGATGCCCACTCTCATCACGTCTATTTATCATAATATTGGAGTCCTAGTTACAAAATCAGACAGGGAAAAGAAATGAAAGGAATCCAAATTGGAAGGGAAAAGATAAAACTGCCACTATATGCATATAATGTGATATTTTACATAGAAAACCCTTATCTCCACCTAAAAACTGTTAGAACTAATAAGTTGCAGGATACAAGTTTAATACACTATTGCATTTCTATATACTAACAATGAATGATCAGAAAGAGAAAGTTTAAAAAAAAATCCTGTTTAAAATCCCATCAAAAAGAATAAAATACCTAGGAATAAATTTAACCAAGGAGGTAAAAGACCCATATTATGAAAACTATAAAACATTGATGTAAGAAACTGAAGCTGATATAGAAATGGAAATATATCCCATATTCTTGGATTGGAAAAATTAATATTGCTAAAAATGGTCGTATTACCCAAAGGAATCTACAAACTGAATGCAATCTCTATCAAAATACCTATGACATTTTCACACAACTAGGACAAATAATTCTTAAATTCATATGCAACAACGAAAGACCCCAAATTGCTAAGGTGATCCTGAGAAAAAAATAACAATGGCGGAGGTATCACCCTTCCCGGCTTCAGATTATACTACAAAGCTACAGTAGTCAAAATAGCATGGTACTGGCACAGAAACAGATATATAGATCAACTGAATGGAATAGAGAGCCCAGAAATAAACCCACACTACCCCATAGTCAATTATTCTATGACAAGGAGGCAAGAATACACAACATTCTAATAGAATCTTATGATCAGAACAGAGAAGGAATGCTCACATTTTCCCAAATTAAATTTATTTTAAGTTGAAGTCAAATAATGTATTCTTGACAGCCAGAGGAAATTTATCTTTCAACAGTGTCATTATGGTATGGTAAGACTTACTAAATATGTTTAAAATTTTTCAATCACCATGTCAGAAGAATGATGGGCACGTGTCTACAAAAGGTAAAGGTGTATTTTGGAAACTGATCTGACCACAGAAAATCACTGGTTAATTCTGCCTTTATTCTTGGAAAATTATTTCCCAGCATTTGTTTTGCAATTTCTAATTAATAAGGCAAATGTGATGATATTTCTGGGAACTGAAAAAGAAACGTGTTGTTATGCTTTTCTTCAGTTCCAACCTTGAGAACAAAAGTGAAGATGAAGGGGGGACATGATATAGCTCAGTGGTACAGTGCTTGCCTAGCATGCACGAGGTTCTGGGTTCAGTCCCCAGGACAGCCATTAAAATAAATAAATAAATAATAAACCTAATTACCTCTCCCTCCATCAAATAAAAAAAAAAAGAATGTTGGAATGAAAGATACTTTAAAAACCCCAATAAAAACAGAAGTGAAGATGAATGACAAGGTCATTGCTCTATCATAGAGATAATGTATTTCGGGTGCTGGACTCCTTCTACAATGTTATTAAAGTTCTTCGAAGCATTGCTACTAAGGAAAAAAAAATCAACTCATATTATTTATTGTACCTTTCCTCAAAATTCACTGCTGTTTCAGGCTTTCCCTCAGCTAACCAGTCCATTTTATTTTGGAAGCCACTGGTACAACAAAGTGCTGTAACAAGTCAACATAAAAGATCAACAGAGACAGGTAATAAAAATTTGATTGCAAACTTTAGTGAATCTGAGGAGACTAGGGATTTTGAAACAATGATAGCCTACAAATAAAAAAGCAGATCCAAATAAAGCGCCTACAGAATTTGTGACAAGCGGTCTTCTAGTCACTACTGAGTAGACAAGCCCTAGTCAGACTGTGTGAAGACGTTAGGCGGCCTTGATACTTTTCTAAAATTATTCAACCTACTGATCTCCAGTGGTTCCTCCCATAGGCACAAAGAGAGCAGGAGAATGGACAGGAGGAATCTTACAAGTGGAAAAGAACAATATAATAATTGTAACAGAAGTAATAATAAAAAAACATTTATTTAACACTTAACCCTGAAGCTAAAGATATAATAAGAATTTTACATGGACTGTGTCATTTAATCTCCACAAATAACTTTCTGAGGCAGGCAGCCTAAGTGGTCAGAGAATTATTTTAACTTAGTCTTGACAACAGGGTGAGCTCTTTATGGTTGAAAAATCAGATTCCCTTCTGCCTCTCTTTGAAAATATATCAGATGCCGCTCAGGGACATTCTCGCTTCTGATAACCAACCCTAATGTCTTTATAACTCATTACTGCAGAATCAAGACGTAACTTCTCTGAAACTAGGATGATGGCTGTCTCACCAAATTGCTCACAAGCGTGTCTACCTCTACTCTATAGTTAACCACTGACGGACAATACAAAATGACAAGAATTGTGGTTTAGCAAAAGCATTACAGCTCATTCTGCAGACGATTTACCATCACTCAGCTGTATGATTGGCCCATGTTTTTTGCTGTTTTTCTTTTTGATGGCTGGGGTGGTGGTTCATTGATCTTAAGTGCATAGCCAACATTGTTAAATTATCACGAAAGCCTTCACTGTTAGACTAAAGAACAAACATCTTACATTATTGAAAAATAGCAGTTTCTTATCAAAGCCTAACATAAAATTAGAAATTTCAGGTAACATGGAGTTACTAACAACACCAACAGTTATGGGGAAAATAATGACTATCAAGGCCAAATTTAGCAACAGAATCATTATTTTTAACCCTGATTGTTTTCCTCTCATGTTTTAAGCAACTGTAAACTTGGAATCTGGCAAGATAATAATGCAAAAATGTTACTATCTGGTTAAGACTCCATGCCATGACTTCACTGACTATAATTTTGTTTGGGCCAATGCAGCCTCCCAAATGGCCCATTCTGGCAAACCCAGGTGAATAAGCAGACATGTAAACAGGATGAGAGGATTGCTATCCTTACGCTAACTAAAAATCCTGCTTATTGCTTTATTTTTAAACCGCCACTAACTTGTTTAAATTATAATTGCATCTTCTCAATGAGTACAGTTCCTTATTATTGGAACTGGCAGGGGGCCTTGACATTTGAGTCATCATTTCATTGTGTCTATTTCTTACCGTGGTATACAAATTAAGTAGACATACAAGCCAGATAAAATGTAGGGGGGAAAAATCTGAAGCAGTAACTTTATACTGAATTAATTTTTCTCAAATCTACAAAATATATAAACCAATTAATATCGGTAATAATATATTCTACTTCAGGCACATTTTCCAAAATATTAACTTCTATTCTACAGCCAAAGATGCTTCAAACGCTCCTAGCCAAATATCATACTTCCGTAAGAGAAAACCAACAGCTTTAATATTCTCTAAATTGAAAAGATAGAGTAATTCCAGTGTATTCGGTATTCTCAAGAAGTGAACATATTATAAAGAAATGCATCTTTCTCAATACTAAAATTTAATTAGAAGTCTTGAGATAGTTGCTTAATTTCCAACTTTTAGAAAATGAATTATTCTGAATATGAAGAAAAACAGGATATAAATCAGATGTTCCTAAATTATGAAATTTATAACATAACATATTCAAGTGTAGCTAGCTTTTTAACTATATTTATTTAAGGATAAGGCAAGCAAGCCCCACAATGTTGAAATCAGTCTCAGCATTTTTCTCATTTTGACTTCAGTGGAAATATTCATGGGTTTATAGTATCACGTTTCCAGGGAGTCCTGCCATTTTTGTAATTACTATGGCTAGTATTAATAAATGTCTTCTTTTTATGTGATGAAATAAATTAATGAAAGAGGCAGACACTATGCAAAATGGCTGGGAACAGAGCCAAACCTTTTTATATACATCCAGGGACCAATAATTTTCTAAATGGCACTCTAGGCAATCTTGCCCAAATAATTACAAGTGTTGCCAGCATGCAATTTACTGAAATAATTATGCAATCTCCTAACTCCCATTACCCACGTCAAGTCCATGGCCACTTACCTTGTCTTTATTCTCAGTGCTGGAAGCCTCAGGCTTGGTCCTAATCACAAATGGGGTGGACAGCCGCAGCAGGACCCTTTCGAAGGTGGCGTTAACCTTTGGAGAAACAATCTCGAAGCAGTCCTCGAACTTGAGCACTTTGTGAGTGTCACAACGCAGCTGCTTCCTCAGGCCTTCCCCCAGCTGAAGGACTGCCATGTGAGGGTCAACCATCAGGTGGAAAGGGAAGGCTCTGCAGAAGGTGCTGATGCTGATTCTGAGGTCCGCGGGAACCCGGGAGGTTCCCTGTGGAAGGTTCTTCGCGATGTTGGTGTTTTCACATTGCTTGATGAGGAAGGTAAGACAGCTACAGTTGCCTGGGTTTGAACCATCGGAGCACAGTTTCTCATTTGCAACCTGGTCCACTTCTACATCCAGCCGATAGATCTTCTTTCCTGCAGCCTTAATCATCCCAAGCATTGCAAATCCCACGATTCGGTGAGGGTGGAAGTAGTGGAGCATGAGGGTACCTTCAGAGAGCTCTTTGCATAGGAATGATGGTGACTCCAGGGTGGCCTGTTTTCCAAAAGAAGTTCTAATGTGTTCCAACAAAGCATCAAAGCCATTAAAAAAGTCCTGCAACGTGCCACCTACAGCTCGAAGGACTCTCTCATTCTCATCAAAGCATATATTAAAGAATTCCTCACCAAATCTTTCTTGAACTTCCTCAAACTTCAAACCTAGAGGTAAATGGAAGCAAATGTTAATGAAATCTAATAAAATAATTGAATGTATCGCTTTTTTAATGCTTATCAAATGAGGTTGCTAGTGAGTAAAGTAAGAGAGGTATTTCCCTTGGGTACACATATTTTCCCTAAGAGGTTAATTCATTCATTTTGAGTTAGAGAAACT